ACTCTTTCCAACTCTGAGAGGTATCTGTCCTTATAAAGGCATGCCATTGGAAGTCTGATAAGAAAGGTTAATTAGAATGAATTCAATAAAGCCTGGGTAAGTTACATTTTTATTTGTAGGTGAACTACTTTTCTTTCCTACCCCTATCTGTTTGGTACACCAGCTGAACTTGTAAATCAAAATTCTTATTAAACATTAATTATGTTACACTGGTTTATATGAGTTGAGGAAGTTGGCCCCTGTTCTCTCTGAACCAAGATCCTTAAGCCTATTATGTAGATACACATGAATACATGTTAAAGCATGACCTAACTGAATAAAAACGTTTTTCCTGCTTGTTTTGTGAAAGAGCACTGAGTAGTCTACCAGAACTGCTTATCCTCAAGCAAAGTTTGATATAGTAGATTCCTGATAAGGCAGCATGGAGCCTGAGTATGTCCAGGTCTTCTCCTGAACTACTTCACTGATATGCATTGGCCTGAGGTTTCTTGACAAAATGCAAAATCTCTTATGACTACAGTATGCAATTTGTGCTCTGAGGATAAGTCTAAACCATCAGAAATGCCTCCTCTCTTCCTTTTCTTTCTGCTCTTTTCTCTCTTTCCTCTGCTTCCTCTCCTTCATCTTCTCCTTTTCATAGGGATAAATCTACCCTTTACTTTAAATGTAAAGCATTAGAGGTATGGCAGCATTTTAGCAGAGAGATTTTTAATCAGAGAATTCTGTATGTATTATTTGAGTCTGTAGGCGGGTGAGATGTAATCCCTTTTTCTGTCTCTAATGGCGGTAAATAGCAAATCTTCGTGTAAGAATGAGGTAACTATGAAATAGTAGATCTGGTTTTACCTCCTCACTTCTGGCTGCATACAGCTTAAGGATTTTCTATGGCAGAGTTGCAATTGCACTCTGTGTTTAGTATCCCTTGATGGACTTTTAATCTATCTGTTTGTAAATTACTTCTGAACCCACCTAAAAAGGATATTTCCATAGCATCCACAATTTTATACATTTTGTGAAAAAGTACTTTGTCTTGTTTCTTCTAAACATGGTGCCCTTTTTTTTATGCGTTATGAGAAATTATGAACACTTGCTCTAGAAAAGTATCTTTTATTAAGGTATTTCCCATGGATAGTGTTTCAAGCAATTGTTCTATAAAAACGACTAATTTTTACATTGCTAGAGCCAATCTGTATCAAGAGCATCCATAATCATACGTTACTACAAGATTTTTTTTGTTTGTTTTCTACCTGAAGACAGAATTGTACAGATGGGACATAACTTCCAGCACACCATAACTTTCCTGTGATAGCATAGGTGGCACTGCATATATGGCAAGTCCTTGCTGGACTTAAAGCCATAAGGCAAGGCATTAGCAAGTGGCATAAAGTATAAATTCATTAGCATATTTCCATTTTATGTTACACTGGAACATCACATTATTATTTGAACCTTGAAGATACCCAACACCTGTTCTTTACACGTTATCAACAATTTCCATCAAGTATTTTCTTAATACCATCCTAAAAACAGTGTATTCGGTCCTTTCAATTTAATAAGCTCCTATATGGGAACATTTCTGGTTAATACCTCTCTTAACATTGTTTTTACTTACAATGTCACATTACTCACAAATTTTGCTTATGTCAGGCATTACAGACTTTCTTCAAGAAGGGCCTGGAGGAAATCTGTGAAATAGTCAGCTGTAGAGGGTATCAAACATCATATAACTGCCTTCTAGTGAATTTGCCTATAAGCCCTCTTTATCAGATCAGATCAGAACTTTAGGCCACATTCATTTCCTCTATTATTAAATTCAACTTGTGAGAGGTAAATTTGAAATCTTTTATCTTTGCATGTCTCCTGTTTGCATGTTACCCTTCTTCATTACTTCCCCTTTCAACATGAGAGCATACTTAAAGGTGAAGTCCTGGCTTTGCTCAGCATTTCTTTGAAACTCTCTAAAAATAGGGGAAGGGGGGGAAACACATTTCTGGATTTGCTGGTACATGTTATACAAGCTAAGTTCTTGAAATGGCCGGCTGCCATCAGACATGCTGAAGTACTATGTCATTACAGCACTAGTCAAATTCTTGTACTATTCAAAATTGTGTACCTCATTTCAAACTTCTTACTGCTCTTTGTATGGGATTGGAGAGAGGTGGCATAATCTCTTGTGTAGATGTGGCAAGCTAGACACATATCCTATATAGAGTAAAATATGCTCTATGGGTATGAAACAGGGACCAGTTGAGAAAAGTACTTCTGAATTCATGGTGACTGTCAAACTGACAGTCCTTTGTTTAGGGAAGCAGAAGAGTAGCAAATTATGTTCAGGCTCGTTAGTTTATAAGAGAACTGAAGGAAGCTCTGTTTGTTTACTGGAGTGAGTATCTTTTACTCCAAAACCTTCCTTGAGTTTCCGATGCAATCAGACTAGTTACCTGGGTTACCTAATTACACCAGCAAGCACAATATGGGGTCTAATAAAACAGGTGAAGCCCCTTTAGTTTCCTTATGAAATCTGTGTGGGATTTGCCTGGGATAAAATTCCCCAGAACCCTTTCTATGAGCATTCCTCAAATTTTACCAAGTGTGAGCTGACTGATGACAGCCTTTTAAAATGCCCTGTGTATAAACTTTCTTGAAAAAAACATACATTTCACGTAGAAGATGGATATTAGTGAGACTATATTGACTGCTGTCAGTGTGAAATACCAATATTTGTTATTTCTCTGTTCAGAAGAATCCTGATTAAAGTGTTAATGTGCTTTTTTATTTATTTTCTCTTGTGGGGAGAAATATTTAATGGAAAGTAACTGCAAATTCATCCGTGATGGAAGTGGTAATTCAGTTATGGAATAGACAAAGATCAGACTATTTGAATCAGCTTCAGTCTGACATTAATTTCTTTACCTTGACACAGCCTTATCGAGTACAGTTTGAAATATAATACTGCATTGAAAAGCTGCAGTGAGTTTTTCACTTTTTTGGGTTTTTTTTCTGTTTAGCGGGAAATCTGATGGTGACATGTATTACAAGCTATCTATACACTATGGAACATAAATCTAAGCTTCTTTCAGGACAAAAAGGATAAGATTTGTTTTACAGGTAGGCTGGGTATAGAGAAAGAGGTGAAAAATGAATTAAGAAAACTACTGACTCCTGGAATTCTCCAGATTTAGCTTACACTGAAACAGAATAATTGTTGCATTGATCAGCTGACTGTTGTCTAAGCCCAATTTACATCAGCCATAGCTTCAGCATCAGCTTGTGATCTACTGTAATTGTGGTAACATCCTATCTGTAATGATTGGACCAAAACAGATCTTTCGAGGCTTATTTGAATGGGTTCTAATAAAACAAAATGGGATTGGTTTGTATCCTACATATTATGTGGTGGTGGTCTTTTTAAATTTTTTTACTCTGACAATCTACAGTTTCAAAATGTTCCAGGTTATCCTGGAGAGTTACTAATGTCAGGAATGAAGCCAGTGTTCTTTGTTCTTCTGACTATGCCACAGGCTTATAAGTGTAACTGCACTACAGCTCTGAAGTCTCCTCACCCATTTTTTCACTTATTGCCATTCAAAGATGTACACATTTACTTACTGGTGACGATCACAGACTTTTTTTTTCTTCTTCCACCCATATCTGTAGCTCTTCCTTTTTTTGTTTTGTTTTTTTTTTTAAATTTTTAAGTTGACTGTAGTTAACACTTGACCAAATCTGTTCCTTTACATGCTTGAAAACTCTATTGAAATGGTAATTGGCCTTTTAAGACTGGAAAGTATTCTGGGCATTCTAGTTGAGACCAGCTGTTGTGTGAGAGAGATAGTGAAAGAGACAGATATTCCTCCCTTACCTGATACATTCATTCTTATTATGTTCATTAGCCTACTAGTTATATTAGACGAATCACATTTATAAACTGCAACTTGGATATATCATTAATTACCCCCTGTGAATAATGATCTTTCTTCAGCTTCCTTTTTATCACTTAATTTTTCAAATGTATCATTAATAACAGTTACTTTCTGTAACATCCTAAATAACCATCATGGTTTCTGCTGTCTGTGCTCCAGTTTTCTAACGATTTTTTTATAAAAGGACTTTATTTTATCCCTGTTCTTCTGAGTTCTCCTGCTACTTTTGGCACTGCTGAGCTTGCCCTCAGTCTTGAAAGTCAAGGAAGAGGGATACACGTCACTATGTTCCTTTGATATTTCTCTTTTATCATCTCTGTCTCTCCCCTGCCGCCCTTTCCCAGAGCTCTATCCCTGACCCTTTGTTATCTCTTCCTACTCTCACAGATCTATTTTTTTCAAATTTACCTCTCCATATCTGGCTTCTCTTTAGCTTGACAAAATCTTCCAAATATATTTCCATGACCTAAAAGATCACGGCCTTGTGTGAGTGTTCTTATTTCTTTGTCTTCCTGATGCTTCTCTTTTTCACGTACCTCCATGTTCACGGGTTTCCTAAGTTTCCAGCAGTCTCCACAACAATATGCCCATACTCAAAGGACACTTTTTATTAAAAAAAATTAAAGTAATTTTAAATCTTCTCTTTAGTTAAATTAGGATCTACCCTTAGTCATTTACTGGCTTCAAAATATAAAAGACCTATCCTAGAGAGTCTAACAGCCGTCATTTATCCATGACTTGGGAAACTGACCTCTGCATCTCTTTCCTGAATGCAGTTTGCACTTTGAAAGCTCTATTTATTTAGTGGCATCTAACAACAACATCTGAAAGTTGTGTACATTACATTTTGCTTCATGTTTTCTGGTCTTTGTCAACCTCTGGTAGACATTATGGGGTGGGGCTTGTTGGGATCTCCTGTCTCCATGTTGGAGTCAGCAGAAGCCATTTATGCAGCTGTAAGGGATTTCTAAGATGCCCTTTCTTTGGGCAGTGTTCTGCCTGCTGGGCAGAAGCAAAAGATCAGATGTGGCACCACCTCATGTCTACAGGAAGTGTGACAGGACACACCTGGGTGTCTCACTGAGAACTTCCACCTCTGTTGGCTTTAGGGCAGCTACTGGCCTAGCCCAGCCACTGCATCCAGCATCCTGTCAGGACTCAGGGGTGACCTGATACCAAGTCAGTCTATCATTAAAGAAAAAGTCCTCCCACTGAAATCTTAGTCCCCAGAAAGGTGAAGGGCCTCTTCTCCACTGCTTGGAAAATGGGAACATATACTTAAGAAAGTAAAACATCACTCCTATCTTCAATAAGGGTGAGAGAAATGATCCATGGAAGTACAGGACATCTAGCCTTGCCTCGATTCTTGGTGAAGGTGATGGAGCAACTAATTCTGGAAACCATTTCCAAACACGTGTATGACAAGAAGGTGATCAGGTGTAGTCAGCATGGATTTACAAAGGGGCAATCACAGAAATGCTTAACCAACCTGACAGGATTCTACAATGAGGTGACTAGCTTGGTGGGTAAGGGGAGAGCAATGGATGTTGTTTACCTTGACTTTAGTAACGTTTTTGAAAATGTCTCCCATAACATACTCATAGACATGCTGACAAAGTATGGGTTAAATAAGTGGGCAGTGAGGTGGAAAGAATACTGGCTGAACCCCTAAGTGATACAAAACCCAGCTGGAGGCAAGTCACTAGTGGTGTATGCCAGGTGTCAGTACTGGAGCCAATACCATTTAACATCTTCATTAATGACCTGGACAATGGGAGAGAGTACACCCTCAGCAAATTTGCATATACAAAACTGGGAGGAGTGGCTGATATGCCAGAGGGTTGTGCTGCTGCCAACAGAGGCCTGCCAACAGGCTGGAGAAATCAGCTGACAGGAACCTCATGAGGTTCAACAAGGGAAGTGCAAAGTCCTGCACCTGGGAAGGAATAATCCCATGCACCAGTATACACTGGTGACAGACAGTTGAGAAGCAGCTCTGCACAAAAGACCCTTGGTCCTTTGAACATGAGCCAGCAATGTGTCCTTGTAGCAAAGAAAGCCAACAGCATCCTGGGCTGGTTTAAGAAAACAGTTGCCAGCAGGTCAAATGTGGCGATCCTCTCTATTCAGGATTTGAGACCACACCTGGGGTATAGTGTCCAGGTCTGGACCCCCCAGTACAAGAGAAATATGGAGCTACTGGAGTGAGTCCAGTGAAGGGCTATGAAGATGATTAAGGGGCTGGAGCACCGCTCATATGAAGAAAGGTTGGGAGAGCTGAGACCTTTTAGTCTGGAGAACGGAAGACTCTTAACATTGTGTGTAAATACCTAATGCGGGGGGGAATGAAGAAGAGAGAGACAGACTCTCCTCCATAGTGCCCACTGACAGGACAAGAGGCAATGGGCACAAATTCAAACACATGAAATTTCATCTGAACACAAGAAAACACTTTTTTACCATGAGGGTGATCAAACACTGGAACAGGTGAGTTTGTGGAGTCTCCATCCTTAGAGATATTCAAAACCCAACTGGACAGAGTCCTGGGCAACTTGGTGTAGCTGACCCCCTTGGAAAGGGGGGTTAGACTAAATGATCCCAAGAGGTCCTTTTCAACCTCATGACTTTGTGATTCTGTGATTCTGTAACACTGTCTTTATACATATTATAGGTGGAAACCTGCTGCAAGAATATTAACTGATGATAGTGGAAAGAGTACATCTTTAATTTTGGGGGGAAACACTCCATTATAATGTTCTAGCCACACCGATTGTTTCAGAATCTTTCTATTTAATACTAAGAGGAATGTAAGGGGCTGTAATAGACAGGCGATGTATTGACTGATGTTGTATGATAGATAATAATTGCATGCATGGTATGGAGGGAGCTGTGAAGTGAAAGATGGAGAGTAATGTTGTGTAAGAATATTTTTTTTGTAAGATGTACATCTGAATCTCTCAAAGAAGAAAAACATGAGTTCTGTTATATACCATGAAAAATGTTGAACTAGAAAAAAGTGCAAAGTCTTGTCTTGCATCTAAAGGGGCATTGCTTTTAGAACTCATGGAAGAAAGTGAGTATATATAATGTTCATAATATGAGAAAGGAGATTAAAAAATATCTGTACAGCTGAGTGGTGCTGAACTAATTTCCTGAGGAAGTGACTAATCTACTCTTGGGTATGGAGCTTGAGGTTTAGAGAACATTTCAGCTGAAGTATTGTCACAACCTGGAAGAGAAATGAGCTACTTACCTGAATATCCTGTCTGGGGATCTCCATCATGATCAGTACAAATGGAACATTGCCAGCCTTAGGGAGATGGCTGAAAAAGAATTTTAAAAATTGACTTTATATTCCATTTTTTTCAGGCAAATGGGAATCAACATATCTTTATGGAAAAGCTCTTCTTCTGTGTAGGCTAAACATTATGCTACTTTGAATCTCTCAGTTTATAAATATAGAGAAATCTGTTTTGTCTGCCTTTTACTGTTTTTTCTTCTAGCTGAGGTCTAGCTTGAGGAAGCACAAGTAGGTAAAACTGGAAATTGAAGGAAATTGAAGATGACTTTGCAAACAATCGTTACAAGGCAAAGCTGTATTAACAGCTTTATCAATTAGATGGTTTTTATTCCTAGAAGCCCTGTGTATGTTGGCTTCTTTCCAAACACTGAAGAAAGACTATGCCTTAGTAGCAGATCTCAGCAATATAAAGTCATACTGACAGCTAATCGTTAAGGCAAATAACACTAGGAAACTTATTAAAATAATATTAAATGATAAAAATGTCAGATAAATATTTGACTCTCTCTATATAAACATATATTCCAGAAGTAGGTTTGTTATAAATTGCTCGTTTTGTTCTATTTTGTTTTGTTTAGATTTTTGGCTATTTCATAGGAGAAAGTGATGCCATGTCTTCCCAGATGAAAGAAGAAAACACGGTTTTCCTAGTATCTGAAAAAAAGCAGATTACTCATGCAGGTGACATACTTAATCTTGTATCCAAAACTATTTTTTTAATGCTGTGTGTTGCACACTTTATTGAAAGTACAGTAATAAGATCTCATGTCTGTTTTTGCTTATTATTCATGCTTCTTCTTCTTATGTGTTCCAGAATACATGTTTTTTTACTAAAGTCTTTGTGTCTGAACACTCCACTGCTGTCTTGCCCAGTTTTCCATTTTCCTAAATTATTTTGAAATTATGAATTTGTCTGACTCAGGCTATTTATTTATGCAGTTATTCTTTGCTTTTCTGTATTTTTTAAATAATGTACAAAGAACTAGCACGTCTATAATGCATTAATGATATTTAAAAATGCAACATGATTTTTTAAATCAAGTATAGGATAATCTATGATATAATGCATTACTGCCTTGGAGTTGGTACAAATATGCATTTCAGGAAGACAAAAAATAGTCTTGAAATTATGGTTCTATTTGTTTAGATTTTCTGTGTCTGTAAGATAAAGAGTAATATTTTGTCATTGACAGTTGTCAAGAGACAAGATGTGATAAAGGGTATAATGAAAGTGCCCCATCTGGATTTCACAGTAACATCCTCTCAGAAAGGAGTGCTAACTATTTTTAACAACCAGGTAATTCTGACTCAAACAAACTTTTTTATTATTCCATTAGGCAGTATATATGGGAACCAAGTGAACTGTGATCTAGCATGCAAACTTACCCATAAAAAAAGCTAGATATCTTTTTTATTAAAGTTAACTTTTTCTATGTTTTTAAGTACAGTAGGAAATATACATTGTTATTTTCAATTATAAACCTACTGAATAGTCCACAGAAGTTGATAGAAAGTAGAGATGGCTAATAAAACACATTCTTAACAGAAGTTAGTTTAGTAGAAAATAATCTGTGTTTCTTTTTAGAAAAAGCTTCCCTTAATACAAAATATGCTATTGGAATTAACTTTTGCATATACAGTAGAAACCGGAGAACTACTTTCTACAGCTATTGAGAATATCTAGAATGGACAGAAACATTTATCAGTTGTTTGCAAAGAAGAGTTATTCAATACAGCAACATCTAGAAGCTTGAAAGTCAAATTTTCTGATAGTCTGCATGACACTGCTTCACAGTTACTCCCCTCATCAACAAAGCATAAGGAGATCTGTACCATTTGAAGTAGAACTTCAGGCTCAAGATGCTGTTAAAGTAGAATTTGTAAATGAGTCTCCTAGATGATTATATTACTATTTAGAGGTATGCACTTCTAGATGCTATGAGGTACATCACACATCTATGCTCATCAGCACTTTACATTTGTACAGTTTTAATACAACCAGTTTATTAAAAAAATGTTTCAGACAATGCAGTAAAGCTTTAAAGCAGCACTAATGCTTTCTAGGGGGTTCAGCTAATTAGTGCATAATGCTTATGACAGGAGCATGTAAAGCAAGAACGGACTCCTGTGGATGATTAAACAACAAAGCAATACTGCAGCTTTGGTAAATACTGAAATAATTTATTTGAAAGCCTAGTTCTCTGTCCTCCAGAGCATTATCCCTCTTACGTACCTACAAAAAATAATTTCACAAAGTATAATGTTAAAAATAGCTCTCTTCCCCACCCCCCACCTCCCCATGCTGTTTTCAAGTTGAATTGCTGCCTCCTCATAGACTGGACTGATGTCACTCTGACATCAGTGAGTGCAGCATAAATGATTTTACACCCAGCTGCTTAACACAGTGAATTAGGGACCTGAAATCTCACTTATAAAACTGTACATTCTGAAAATGACTAAGGCATTACGACAGCAGTCGTTTACTAATGATATGATCTCTGATCTCAGTTGATCTGAGCAAATGAATTTTAACTTCATTAGAATTGTTCTGATACATCTTGATACAAGGAAAACTCTAGTTCTTTAGCATTGCAGTCATTTGAGTCCTGTTGCTAGAATGTCACCTCACATCACAAAAGTGAATATAGAGTTGGCACCTTTTGCATCATTCTTCTTCTCTCAAAGACCAAGGATTTAAAGAGACCTGTCTTAAAATCTCAGCTAGTGAGTTGCTTTATCTAGCTTGTCTTTGCGACATATTGGTAAGGGAATATAAAGATGCTTGCCCTGAAGATGCTGCTTGGTGGGACTTGTGCTCTGGGTGGAGGGGCCAAAATATGAGTTCATGAGCAGTGCATTGACAAATAGACAGAGAGGCTTATTTCTGTATAATTGTTGCATTTTTAAAGTGCAGGTTATTAAACATATGGTGTTCTTGGATGCACGTATATCCCACAGAACTCAATGTGTTCCATGTACATGAATGAATAATATTTTGTCTGATATAATTAGTGTATCTAATATGCTACAGAATTTAACTGTGCCACTTCTGGGGCATTTGACTAGTAAGAAACATACATGCGGGGGAAGAGACAGGGCCATATCCTATACATTCACCCTGGTGTAAACTGATGTCCAGTGCAACCAAGCTTTCCACAATATCAGCTTAGTATTATTCTCTTTGCTCTTTGGAAAGCAAATATAACTTGACAATTTCCTTAATGGTTGTGTTATATCCTTGGAGTCAGTTGACAATCTAGATGAGTTTTTACTTGATACTGAGTAGACTGAGAATAGTTAAAAACTTCAAAAAAAACCCCTAATTTACAAATAAGAATAGGAACAATAAAGAGGTAGCAAACCATCACACAGCTTGTCGATCTATTAAACTTCAGTTAAATAAGAATTAATCTGATTTTTTATCAGCAAATAAGTAATGTCAGTCATGTTAAATGGCATTAAGAATGCTAAATTTAGTCTATATACATCAGGATAGCTTTCAAAATCATCTCCTATTTCACCAGTGACAGGCTTCCATCATCCACTATGTAAATTGCTAGTGAATCTAATTACTGTCTAAAAGAGGGCTTGGAGACTTTTGTTAACCCTGGTTGCTGTGATAAGAAATCCCATGTTCTCTTACATATCTGCAGCTATCGGAAATTGAAGTGAAGGCAAAGAAATATTCATTTGTAGACCATCAGGTTCTCTATTTCAGGGCTAAGCATTGCTTTCTGCAACAAATGTGGACCTAATATGCTTCAACACCTGTATGCAGCTCTGCATTATTAGCCATTTCTTGCTTACTCTAGAACATGAGACAGATAGTTACCCTTCTCAGGATCTCAGACATGGATGCTGCCTTGATCAGCACAGAAGACCAGTAGGAGTAGGCAGCCTTAAGGAAAATTCTCTGTGTATGTTCTAGTCAATGTTACTGTAGATAAAGCCAAATCTGATAACAGTGTGTGGATATTAAACTCTTGTTTAACAATAGTTTTAAACTCTGCTCAAAGACTGTCCATGATGACACTGGGCATCACACTTCTATGGGAAGAGAGACATTGATCCTGGCTTCTTGGTTTATGAAATGTGGAATTGCTGGGATGAGAATGAGGCACCACTGAGTTATTACTGAAGACGCGCAGTGACAGGAGGAGGTGAAAAAGCAGCTGTGCGTGTTTCAGAAGGGAAAAGGTTGAAACTGCTTTTGAAAACTGAATAGTGGTTTTGTTAAAGGACAAAGAAGGTGACTCTGTCTCTACTGGATGATGGTGACAGGTGTGCCTACCACTCTGTGACTTTAAACACTGTAGTTTTTGACTCACATGCTACGCTGTCCACCAATAGTTAACTTTGCTGAAAGATGCTGTACCAATATGGGTATTCCTATTTGCAGCCTAACATGCTACCTCTACCTGGTATTTTGCTGGCACTAGTTGACATGTCATCTGGGCCAGCATTAGCCTGGGTTTCTGTTTGCCACATCCTACCTCCTACAGGAGCTGAAGCTGTTCTAGCTGTGAAGGACCATAAGAAGCACAATTCCATGAGAAAAACAGCTCATCTGTGTTCCACTGTAAAAAATGGGCATTATTTTACTTATTTTGCTCACTCCAACATCTCAATTTAAAAAAAATAAACGAACAAACAAACCATGAAACAACTGTGAGAGAAAGAGGGGGTTTAAGTTCCTCACTACATATAGGGGAACCGACAGTAGGTAGGTTAAAGATCTTTCTCAGAAGATCTTAACCACGAACTCTTTCTGTTGGCTTATTGTTCTATTCTGCCTGTGATACAGGAGAACTGACTGTATTCAGACTTTTAATTTAATTGCTAAATTGTTATTATGACAACATATTTTTCTTTTTTCAGATGAGGGTTCTGGCAACCACCAGTGTTGAAGTAAGTTAATTTTCCCCCTTCTGTTAAATCATTTGAATTAAAAATCAGCAGGTACTAAAGTGAAATAATTAGAAACTGAGCATTATTCTAATGTTACTTCCAACCTTGAGACTTGTGCATATTTTGGCATAGAGTGCCATAGGTCAAACAGATTCAATTTATTTCTTTCAGTTATAGAAACAATTGGGTAACTTGATTTCTTTCCTCTGATAAAAAGAAACCTCAGATAAATGCTGCTTCTTCTACCAAAATGTCCCTTACCCATTACCTTTCCAGAATTTTTTCTTCTAAGTTCCAACACTTAAGTTGTCACTGTAAAATTTTAATAGGAAAAATTATAAGTTCATTAGTGAAAACCAGTTCTACATCTTGCTAGGTAGATTGGTTGGCTACATGGTGTATACTTTAAAAGCTCATTTTTACCCTGGGAGTATCACTGCAGACTTTAAGTAATGAGCTTCCTTCACATGACCTGCAGACAAGAGAACTGTCATCAGTCTTAACAAAGTTACATGACTCCTTGCCCTAAAAGTCCATGTAGGTATCTCGTGCCAGGGGGCAGTGCATTTTGTTGATTACCTGTCACATATTGTGGATGTTCTAAAATGCAATAGAAATATTCCAGACCACAGGCCCTACTACTCCAACTCAGAAAAGAGCTCTGGGCCTGGGTTGCATTTAATTTGTCGCAAGGACTAATCTGACCTGTGGAATCAATGCAGAGAGGTAAACTGTGAGAAACGTTCTTGGGACCTATTGACTTTTGGAAACTTTGACTAGAATCTGCTTAGAACTTCTCCTAGAGCTGTGTTACAGGAGTGAATTTTAGTAGTTTGTTCCTGGTTTGATTGTAGGAACAACTTCCCCAGTCCAAATATGCCAAGGTAGGATGAGAACAATGTTTGGTTCTTGTCCTCGGAGATGCCAAGGGGAAGAAGCTGGAGTGCCAGCCTGATGCTGCAGTGGGCTGATGTGGCTGCAGGGTCTTCTTCCTCTCTGAGCACTAAGCACTAATCTTAGAATGATTCCTCAGTGGATGTGGAGGTCTTTTTGCTATGGCAGTAGGACAATACTTGGCAGCCATGGCAGAATTAGGCACTGTTGAAGGTCATTTCTGCCATAAAAAATGTGAAAGGAGGATATGTTTAACACAAAAGTCTCTCTCAGTATTATGGCGTGATACCATAATTGTTAGGATTGTGATTCCAAACATACAATACCAAAACCTGTAGTTTTAGTATCAACAGATAACACTGTTTAGTATCTGTGAGCACCCACTTCTGTTCAGCTCTGCACCAGATCTGTGTGCCCTAGCCTGATCTGCTGTCTCTGTTGTCATGTGCCACTCTCCCATCCTTTCCCAGCTGAGATGTTTCCACTTTTTCAGCCTTCCCTAGAAAAAGGAAGAAGTGGGTTAGAAATAGTTTGGATTCCTCCCCCTTGGGAGGGAGGATCATTGCTGCTGGGGATCACTGGATCAGTTGGGATCATTACTGCTCAACATGGCAGTCTCTACCATAGGGTGTAAAGTCTTTCAGGGGAAAATCTTTGGCTTCCTAGGGACATCTATTGACTGGGGAGCTGGCAGTTAGTGAAGAGAAGAGAGATACCCATGCCCACAACCTTATGAAATCCTCCTGGCTCTGTGTCCGAAAGATTTAATGGTATTTGGTGATGTCATGTTACTTTGTTGTTGTTGTTCTTATATTCACTTTTTTGGTATCAGAATTGTGAAATTTTCAGGTGGTCTAGTTAAAAACAACCCTCTTCTGCTTCCTGCTCTGCCTTGTCTTAGGGAATAGGCGATCTTATTTAACATTCTTATTTAAGTGTTTGCACTGAACAATCCTGTCCTTAGCCAATTTACCTTCTTCTCACCCTTCCTCTAACTACTACACTGAAAATGGAATTTAAATGGCTATTACTGGGCTCGAGGTTGAACGTTTTGATACTTTTTAAAAGATTCTCATGTTTGCCGAACATAAGATTTTAAGCTATTTTGTTCTTAAAATGGAAATTCTATATCCTTATCCCAAATCACAATGAAATAAAATTCTGGATTGTTTTGAGAGAATAAATTCCACTTTCCAGGCAGTTGAAATGTATGATGTTATTAAATTTATTAACTTGGGAATTCTTTGAGAGATATATCTCTCAGATTGGGTTGAGGTTTTTTATTTTAAAGTATGCTTATTAAAACTGAAGCTTTGCATTTTAATAGCTGTTATCTAAACACTTATTAAAAATCAAAGGCCAATATCTATGTGAGTGTAAATCATTACCCACCACTTATTTATTAAAGATACAGTGAACTATACTAGTTGAAGACCTCAGCACCAAATGGTTTTAATGTACAACTATGAATAATACCTCATGATTAATTTCTGAATAGCTAAAGAGAGAAAGCTGCCTTTGCCTTGCAGGGCTTACATTTTTCTTTTTCAGATCAGCAGAAATAACAGTCCATTCTTTTCTCACTGCAATTATTATGCTATTTTCATCTGTTTTAATATCATCATCAGTACTGGCACGAGCTAATCGATCAAGCTATATATTTGTAGGCATCTTTGTGCAAATGAAGTTCAGAGATAAGTTATTAGACTCGAAACCTACTATCCACTCCTGATAAACAATGATGCATGTAGAGGGTGGCTAACAAATTGCAGAACAATCCTTAGGTTCCTCTACCCTCTACCATTCAGTGTTCTCATTCTTAAGGTGTGTCAAAACAGGGACTTACTCAATCAGAGCAACAGAGGTTTTGGCCCTGAGGATATTGAGCCAGAAAGGCTGTGAAACACAGTAGTTCTAGAAATAAAATCCAGTGGATTGCAACCATCAGAACTTTCCCAGCATCATGATGATATAAATGGAATATGAACTATGAGCACAGATCATTTACTATTTTGTTCCAGGGATGTTATGGAGAACAGGTCGGTTCAAGAAAACCTGATTTCATTTCTTGATGAGATTACGTGACTGAGTGAAAAGAATAGAGGCATAAATATAATACACTTAAAACTCTGTACAGTATTCAACTTAGTACCATACAACTTTCTGTTTTAAAATACGGCCACTGAAAAAAAAAACTAGAGTGCATGTTAAATGGATTAAGAATTGTCCATCTGACAGGTTCCAAAAATAGTAGTTAGCATAGAAACATCATTGAACGATGATGGGAATACTGGTAGTGAACAAGTCACTTCTCTTGAAGAATGGAAATGAAATGACTTTTAAATATGGCATGGAAAAGCGTAAACAAACCCAGTGGATGAGCCAGACAAGCTGAAACAGAAACAGCTGAAACAGCTGTATTGGAAATGAAGGAGTGAAGACAGAGCCCTTGAGTGACAGGATGGAACAAGGAAATAATTAAAAGGTTGGTCTGGTGCAGCTGCCTAGTTTGTCTGTCAAGTACTGCAGTGCTAAGAAGGGAAATTCTTATAGCCTTTGCTCTAAAGCTGGAACATTTTGCTTATAGTCTCTGGCAGACTATTCTATCAGCCACTTCTCAGTGTATCAAATTAATCTATTAATTTGTGCATTGCTTTCTTCAGGACTTTCATACCATTAGTTTCTGAGTAGTCTCAAGCCACACTATAGGAGCCTATTTTGGTCAAGGACTTTCATTTTGGATCTTAATGACAGAGCACCAAGCTCTTCTGTTTACACAGCCTGTTTATTCCACAGGCTGAGGTCTTGAACAAGAACTGGCATGGAAGGCAGTGCTAGCTAACTTGGAACAATCACTCTGTCTCTGTTAGGCTCTAAACTTCTCAGTGGACGTTCTCTGGACCATGCTATGCAGGAAGCCAAAGTCAGTTATTATTGTGGTCTCTCCAGGCCTTTATATCCACTGATCTTTGGTGCAATTTAAGTAATTTCACTGGAATTGTTAGAGACAAATCTAGTTAAATTTTTCTTAAGATGAGACTCTCTCAGCTATACACATGAAAACACTTCTATTGCTGCCTGTTCCAGGATACCTCAATTTCTCTATGCTGGATCTTTCCCTGACTGGCAACTTCTAATAAACTGGTGCAATAAACACATTTTTTTCTACTTTTGCTGTTATATTATCAAATATGACTGTGCCCATAAATAATGCAAAAGGAAAGAAGAGGATACATCTGGAGTACGTTTTGCTAATTCTTGCTTTCTGCTGGCATATACAAATTGCACGGCATGTGTTGAAACCTGATTTTTTTTTTAGACTGCCAGTCAATAATTAGAAATATTTATCTTCTATTGAGAGGAGAATCTTACAAGCGAAATTCTGTCTTGGTTGAAGTCTTTGGCCAAAATTTTCCTCCTGTTGGAGTGTTCATTGCTTCTCTACCTGTGTCTTTCTCCTTTCACTAAAGTTCATTGCAGTTCAGACACTGTAAGGAAAATTTGAATGTGTACACCATGTGTTTTTATTTGTATGTGTATTAGACATAAGTTGATGTATGTAGCTGTTGTATAGATCTTGTAAAAAAAATCTTCATATGAACATGTGTTCTTATTTACTCTTCAAGCCAGAAGTGGTTTTAATGCATCTTAGGTTGTAATTTCTGTCAGTTTTTCTCTCCTTTTTAGTGAAACAGTATCTTAATGATAATCATGTCTCTAAGCCAGTGGATGCCACAATACAATGGCTAGGATGCTTCACTGTAAAAGATAGATCAAGATCAATTTTACTTGACTGGTTTTTAAATGTTTACTTAACTGCAAGCAGACCTTTCCCTTGATGAATTCCCTAATCTCTGGCCTTTCCCACTCATTCTTCCTTAACTGTTATCAGACAACTGACTTTCTTCCATCTTCCAAGATTATCCTCACAGATTAACTGAGTTGTTTCTCCCAACTAGGTGAGAAATACTTGGTGTTCAACTGGGATAAGTCCCCTCTGAAGGCATATACTGACTGACCTGGAAAGATTCAGTTACCAGGATAGCATATATGGGGGATAGAACTTTTCATGGCAGAGGGGCATTTGATCTGTAAATAAGGATTAGTCATGCCTTCTCAGATCACTGTCCTGTAACGTGATTTGTTTTGTTCAATTGTTTCAAAGTAATATCAGAGATGCTTGGTTGTATTTCTAGGCAAGTATATGAAATAAAGTTTTTGGTATCAATGTTTTAAGTCCTTTCATCAGGGCTTGTTTTATTGCCTAAAATTCAACTGCAATACAAAAAAGAAAGCAAAGGGACGTCTATCCCTTAGACCCCCTCTCTCAGCAGTCAAGTGCAAAGATTCTCCTTACTGCTTGCTTTTGATCTTCCTTTTGTCTCTATACCATCTCACTACATGTAATAGCCTGCAAAACCTTTGCAAGATGCAGCTCTGTTACTTTGACTGCATCATCACACACCAGCACTACAAAATAGTAGCTTAATTACAAATGTAAAGCCAGCTTTTTCATACCAGCTAGTCATTGTTATCTGACACTATCGTAAGGACTCCAAAAAGCCACAGATAATAAAATCTTCTGTAAGAATTACCAAGCAATCCATAAGGTCCCTGCAGGACTGACATTTTCCATGTGTTTACTGTAGAAAGCAACACAAGAAATGCTTGTAAATGTATTACCACTTGCCCACAGGCCATTAGGAAGGAAAGGATCTTTCTCCTTCAACAGAGTGTTGACATCACTCTGTCAGGATTTTGGACCCTTTATACTAATAGCAAAATCAATATTGTGTGCAATAATGGAAATAAAAGTAGAAGCATCAGCAGCTGCCCTGAGTTCATCATGGGTTTAGTCTTGCGCTTTTTGCTTCTTAACTCACTTTGTGTATGTAAACTGTATCTTTAGCAACATAGGTCCCTGTTTTAGCTGTTTATCAAGTACTTCCACTGGAACTGGTTTTAGCAGGTTACAGATAGGTATAACTTACTTGAAGAACTGCCAAAAAAGCGTTGTTTAAGTCTGTGTCAACTGTTTCTTTGCCACTTTAATCTAGAAAAGAAAGTAATATGATTCAGTCAGTGTTATTTTATAGAGCTTCTAAATTATTTTAAAATAATAGATGATTGTGCCATTGCAGACATAACAAAAAACACCCTGTATTTCAATACATGAGCTTAATACAGAAGTGAAATAAATATAAAAGCCTATATAATAAACGGTGAAATAAGATTGCTGAAATAAGATTTTTAAAACTTACTGAAAGGCAAATGAACTGTAGCATATTGCATTTGAATCCCACTCTCATTTAGGAAGGTCAAAAACATTTTTGGGAAAAAAAATCAAACAGCTATTAATGTTTCAAAAAAAAAAAACAAAACAAAACAAAAACAAAAGACCCAAATTCTGGCCAGTATTGTACTGAATTTGAGTCCCTAATCTTACACTTTACAAGAGAAATTATTTTACATTGACCTGTATAATTGCAGGTATACCTGAAAGATGGCTTAATATGGGCAGAGGTACTGTAAATCTTTGTAAATTTTTGATCTACCTGCTGGGAGAATTAAAATTATTTAATACAAGTTACTTATTTTCATAAACGTTCATCTCAGTAAGCTTTGTGCTATTATAGCTGAAATTTTTACTGCCTTTTAACTTTTGTTTTGAACTAACCCATATCCAAAAAAAATTTTAATATCTGCTTTACCATGGATGTTGTAGCTTAAATTTCCTCTGCTCAAAGTGACTTTTTCAGAGTGTCATCACAGTTCAGCTAACAGTATAGATGTATTGTGTCCTCTCATGTGCAACATCTGTGCATCTGAGGTGAGTCACTGACAACAGAGGTTGAGCCTGGCACCTCTGTAACTTCACATATGAGCTATTCCTTGAGTTAGAACTCTCAGTCGTGTTAGCTGGGGCTGGATCTAGCAGCCACTACTGCACAGTATATGGAATTTATGTGGAGATGGTTTAAAATATGTACTTAAATAACAAAGAAGGTTATAAATTTACAGAGAAAATCCTTCTTCAGCTACCCTTTTTATTTTCATCAGGATACTTCTTGGATCACTGGATGTGATTTCCTACCTCACCTGAAATGTGTCGTGGCTGTAACTGAAAGGACAGCCATCATCTGGGACTATAAATCAAAAGGGAGTCAGGTAGTATGTGGGATCAGGCAAATGTTACAGAGGAAGCCTGAAAAAGATCAGTCTTTGTTTGCAGTGTACATTCACATTCCTTTTGTCTAACAGGATGAAGGCATTAACTTTGTCTTTGTATGAACTCAGTGAAACAGTGGAATTTATACTAAAGAAGGAATACTCTTTCCACACCAAATGGGATTATTAGACTGTCTTCAAAACTTGCAAGAGGAAAATTTTGTACTATTTTGCAAACAACCCCCCCAAAAATTTATTTTCTATGTATATGTGTGCATATGTGTACACATGTATAGCTAATATGTGCGCATGTGCATATGTATATCTCGGAATCTATTAAGAATCAAGGGACAGGTTTCCCAAGGAATTTAACATAAACTCCTTTGAGGTAACTTCCTGGTTTAAAGAAAATATTTCTTCATACCCTACATTTTGTTCAGGACTTTCCAAGAGCAAAAGCATCTTGATGTTAACAGTGCATGTCCAAACAGTTAAAGTTTTCTTGAATGTCTTATTGCAAATTACATTTTTTGCAAGGATTTCTGACCCATACCTTAGATTTTTCCTCCTGTTTCTGGGGCTTTTCTCGGCAATTCTGAGTTGGTTGAGAAGATTAGAGGAAGCAAAGTAAATATTTTATGATAAGATCAAGCCTTAGGATTTTTTTTTATTGTTCTCAATATTAAAAGGCCTCTCCCCAAGCTCAGACAGGTCAATGGAAGACTTTCTGTCAATCCGATTGGACTCCTGGGAAGGAAGGCTCAAAAATGTATTCTCCAGTCATTATTCTCCAGGTTTCCTCCAGTCATTACATCAGTGAGAGCTGAAAGTGTCCTATGGCTGAATAGGAGCAGTTCTTTTTCGAGACCACAGGAATAATATATAGACAGTTCTATATCCGTGTTATGTCTCTTTAATGTTCCTGTGCTACACAAACAACATTGAAGCAGTTAATTCCTATGGCATGTGAACAGTTCCCAGTTTAGGTTGGCAAGGATGCTTTAATCAAATAACAGATGGAGTCAGGCAGTAGAACCAATAAACTGTATAATGCAGATGACCCAAAATCCCATTCCCAGGACTTCTCAGTCTAGCAAAATACCACAATGGCTTGCAGCTGTAGTCATTCCCACTATCTCAATTCCTGAAAATTCAATCACCTGCCCAAATAAGTACATTTGGTACTCCCAGGCAGTATTAATAATTAGGACTCTGATATAATTTCGCTCTGTGTGTTACTGTGGCATTTTGTGGTTTGAATAATTCTTTAATTTGGCTATTTCCCATTTTCTTGTAACCAGCATCTTATTTTTGAACAGGAAACCATATACAGTCTTAGCAAATACACCATCCCACTTAGCATGGTGAGAGCCTCCCTAGAGTATATAATTAATGTTTCCTCACTGAAGTGGAAAAGGCTACCTGTGAAATAAAGCCTCACTGAAATCCTTAACATTTGCATTTCACTTCACTTGTTGATGATCTTCCATGAGTTTCTAATACTAGGAAATAGCTGTCACAGGGGAAGTTTGAAAAAACAAAGTCAAGAATTGAATACTTATGTAAGTAGATAAGCATATGTTCAGTCAACTTAAGGGCTCATGTGCAATATCTAATAAACCACCTACCATATTTCACAGAATAATTGCTTTATCATCAAACCAATGGAAAACGGTCTGCTCTGTGTTTGCACGGTAACGAAGTCAGATCACCTGGCTAAGGATAATATCCTAATGGGAGATGATAAGGGTTATGTTCACCTGCTTACTGTGACCAGTGATCACTTTGGATTAAAACAATGTAAAGCCAAAAAAGAATCACAACTTCAGGCCTTGGACTCCAAAACTTTTAACATGTAAGTTGCTTATGATAAAATATTATCAGTCATGCAATTTTTTTTTAATTTGGGTTTTCTCTGGCCTAAATGGAGGATTAGCTTTTGTGTATAAATTAACCCCACCTAACAAACAAAAATTTTCAAACTGCAGTAAGTATGATTTGCTTGTTATTGTGTGAAGGAAATGTCATCATTTTCAGTAGGAGATCTTACAAGAGATCTTACATCAGAGAGGCTGCAGAGTAAAATTCCAGGGAAGAATTCACAACTGCCGTTATCCAGTTTGACAGAGACACAGCTTTATTGTGCCCAATTAGATGGAAGCATAATTGCTACTAGAGAAGTGCATGATACAACCCTACCTTTAGCTCTGTTTGCTTTTGAGCTGGAAGAGTGGTTCTGTATCTGCCCTGGATATTAAATGCTAGCATTTTTTGTATATAATCTCACTGACAAAATCCCTATCCACCTATGGGCATATTACAGTAGATGCTAGTATATCCTAATGCCATCTCAATTTATATCCCTTGTGTTAAACGCAAGCTACATGATGACTGGGTTGTGAAAGTTAAGTATATTTCTGACCTAAATTGTTTTGGATCCTGCTCCTCAGACAGCATTCATTCGTTTTAGATGACACAAAGCGACTAGAGGACAACTTGTAAGTATATGACATCTTCTGAAAAAATAGACCTTTTACTTTATAACTCTGCATGAGATCAGTGCCTTGCAAGATGCCATCCTGTTGTACTGAAGCTCTTTTCTGTAAGCGTTGTTAATACAAACAAAAATACAACTACTTAAATACTTGAGCATTTTTGTTTGTTAGCTTTGGATGTAGGAGAGGACTGTCCATATATGTTCATTACTCACAACCCTTAAAAATAAGTTACTTTGGCAGTGTTGTCTGCTCCAAATTCTCCTCAGCAAGCAAATTTTAGTTAGAAAATTCATTGCTTTGTTACATGTATATCATGTATCCATTAATTTAAAATTTATATCCACCCAAAAATATATTCAACTAAGTTTCATTTGCAGTTTTAGTTTCACAAGTTTCAGTTACACAAGCTTAAACCAAGAAAGCAATTTATTCTGAGGGCTGTGAAATGGATTTACTATGCAGCAAGAAAGGGGTTGTGGCCTCTTATTTGTGCCATATCCTTCGTAAGGCCCATCAGCGCTATAGCTGATTCCAAGCCTTACTAGCCTGTGATTTTAGAAGAGTTTATAGCCCAACTAAAAAATAAATAATACAAACACAATTTGATGTAAAAAGGAACTATAAATAACATATAGATGGAACTTTGCATTCACATATCTCAAAGCATTGTAAACATTAGATCAGCTTCACAATTCCTCTGTGAGGTACATCCAGAGATTAATAATTTTTAAGGCTAGTAGCAACAATTATGATAATCTGTATTCTCTCTTGTGTAACACAGGCCATAAATATTCAGATAGCAATTATTGAATCAATCCAATAACTTTAGGTTTTATGAGTATTACATGTCTGTTGTGGATGGGAAAAGTGACATATGAAATAATTATAGCTTGTCCAAGGTCACATACTGTGTCATGAGAAAAGCTGAGAAATCCTATTTGATTTTGCTGGGAGTTTTGGAAAAATAGAATTAATTTGAGTAGAAAGGAAAAATAGGACTTTAGAGCCAAAAATATAGTCAGAAGAGTACATGCTACCACCATACACCATTTGTTATACAGAACATTAACTGCAAATATCTTGGTAGGTCTTTTTCATTTAACACTGACTATAATTGTGTCTCCAGTTCCAATAAATACATTTCTCTAAGCAGATTCATGCAGCAGCTAAATGAAATTATATTTAGACAACTAAAAATTTACACAGCTGTTAAAATGAAATTAATAGCCCTAAAAATAGCTATGGATCAAATCACTTTGAAATGCCCATTCCATAAGTAATTATGGTTGAAATATATGATTTACTAGTGCTAGCAAAATAAATTTCCCCAATTAACTTTGCAGCAAGCAATTGTTTTTGTGCTTGAAGAGGGATGCAATGTATCTTGTCTCCTATGTGACTGTTAAGTTTCTTTGTGGATAATGGCTGATGAGCAGTTATAATCTTTTCTTGTAAAGTACCTAAAAAAAGGGAGGTGTGGATGGCATTACCAGGTGCTTCTGTTGCAAGGCCATGACTTGGGAAGGATTTCACACTGCTGAAACCTCTTATTCACACTCATGTTAGAAGAGTATCAAGACCATTCATTAAAGAGCCAATAGACAGTTATATACAAGTATTAAATTTAAGAAATAAAGGAAAAAGATGAGAAATCCTGAGGAAACTGACAATCACACATTTAAATCAATTACTTGCAATTTTATACCATCAAGAGAATTAAGACTCCTCTGTTAGAGCCCTGGAAAAAAAGCTTTGCTCCCTCTAAGTAATAGGGAGTGAACAGCCTTTTATTTACACCTGCCTAGAAAGAGCAAGCTCTTTCATTAATCCTCAAAGTTTTCACAGTCTTTTGTCAAATTTACTGTCATCCCCAGTTATGGTTTTCAATATCCGTGGTTACTCTCTAGCCCAGAATAAATGAACTACCTGCTTGTCTGGATATTAAAGAAAAAAATTAAACGTGTACTCATTTAATTCTGTATAGCTTAATTACATCGACATTTATTGTCTCCCAGGAGAGACGGGTGTTAGCCACACTATCGCTGACTCCAAAAATCAAGAAAATATTTACTTATTAGCAGCAATGTATGAAAGATGGAGAGACAAGCAGAAATTGCTCAAAGGATGGGTTTAGAAGGGACACTAAGTCAATCTCAGTCTGTGTTGGTTTTTTGAATTCCTTTGCTTTTACAGTGAATGCAACAGAATAATTCAGTTGAGTTTCAGAAATTTGCAGTCTCTTCATGTTATTATACAACACAAAATAGATAAAACAGATACTATACTTTATACAATATATTATATGTAAGCAGCAGAAAAGTAACTGCACTTTATGCAAAATAGAAGCCACAATAGACCTCCATGTCCAAAACAGGCAAAGGCAGTCAGTTTGATACTTTTCCTCAGTGATGAACTGCTTTAAGCACACAGACATGTGTGAAGGCTTACTTTGGCAATAGCTACCATTTTAGGAATCTGTTTAGAGTATGACTGATAAAGGATTCAGGTGTTCAAATCAGAGATTTATTACTTTAATGGAAAGTGTTCCCTGTCCCCATTTTATTGATGCTAGTATCTGAGTCACCGTTATAAATCAATTTGCTTTTAACAAGAGATTGTATACATTATGCAAGCAGCTGTTCTATATACTACAGAAAAGTGGAATGACTGTAGTCTGTATTTTCCTAATGTTTCTTACCTGATTAACTGTTTTATTAATGATTACAGACCTGTAAAGGAATTTTCTGTCCCTAGAGGGGTCAATGCCTTCACATACTGTGGAAAAGCAAAAGTCATTGCCACTGGGGGTAAGTACTAGGATTTTTTCCAAGAGATTGTTCTGTTGTGAATTTTTTTCCCAGTTAAATAAGATCAAATAAAGCTGATTTAGTATCTTAAGAATTTAAATAACGGCTTCTGTCTTAAATGATAGGAAACAGAGGTCTTGCTTTTAATTCCTGGGAGCCCACTCTGAAAGGATACAGTTCCTGTCAGGAATCTATCAAAGGCTCAGTCTCGGTTTGATTCAAGTATCATGTTATTTATATAATGCAACAGGAGAAACAGAATGTTGAATTACCCTAAGGCACCTTTACAAGTCACGGTGGCTACTGTCTTGGCCAGGTTATACACATTACTCCTTGCAGAATCAGCAGGGCTCCCATCCTTCCCTATTACTCTTTGGCCATCCTTTTCTATTATTCTTTGGCCATCCTCTCCTGTCTTAAGCAATCACATTGGCCCTTCTTAATACTTTCTGTTGCTCTTCTCTCTGATCACGTTTCCCCAAAGCTTTACTGTTCGCTCTTTCTCCCAAAGCAGACTGCAGAAATAGCACTCTTACATCCATTTCTTCCCTGTTATCCAATAATTTTATGAGCCTTTCTATTGCAGTGGTTATATTTCGTGCTGCAGAAAAGTGGCTGGAGTATGGCAGCAGTCTTGTTTGTATATTCTGTCTGACAGGGTGGTGCCCTGGAGTGACATCAATGCTGCCTATCTCCAAGTCTTTAGTACAAAAGTCTTGCTTTAAACGTTGTTAAAAATTGTTTTGAGCACTGTATCACATAACAATTCTTATGTCTACGTTTATCAAGAAAAAAAAATGCCCAAGGCTCTCCGGTCCTGCCTTGATAATATGCAAGACAGTTAAATAAATTGGGAAAAAAAAATAAAAGACCTAGACATGGGAAATAATGCAATTCAAGTTGAATTGTAGCAGTTTACGAAAGGGAAAACTGTGACAGATACCAAAATAAATATCAGACAGTTCTATTGATTTTCTAGACACGAGATTTAAAGAGAAAGCAATAGGGCTATAGGAAAGTTATTAGTGAAAATTCTGAAGTTCAGCCTTGGAGAAGATCTTATTTACATTGATTACTTTGTCACAAAAAGTAGTCTGGAGAAATTTACTGATTACATAAAGTAGGGAGGCCCTATAAAACAGAATGTCATTAGTATTTCCTACAGGTAGAACTGGAGGATTTTACTGTAGTAATAAAAACAGGGTGAAGTGTCTGAATAGGACAGAAGGTCAATTACACAGGAACTAATAAAAGTTTCTGCTACACACTGAAAATCCTTTTTATAGAAATAGGAGAAGAGAAAGATCTGGATAACCTTACTAAGAAAATAAAAATAGCTATGGTAGGCCAGACCAAAAGTCTGCCTAGCCCACTATCCCCTCACTGACAGTGGCCAGCAATAAACACCTATGGCAGAGTACAGGAATAGGGCCATCATGCAGCAATACTTGCCCTAGGTACCTGTGTTAGTTGAAATACCTGTTCTGCAGGTAACAAAGCAGCAAATTCTCTGAATTTGACACTGGTAAAACCTCATGTTGACCTGGAATCCACTGTATGGTTGATATGAGCCATGTTTGAGAAAGATTAGTTGAATATGGAAAAAGGGTGGGTAAGACCTATCACATAGAGCCTAAACCTATCACATGGAGACTAAAAAGTGTATTTTCTACATCCTAGCAAAATGACAACTAAGAAGGAATACCATTGCTATCTACACAAATATCAGGAGAACAAATATTAGAGCAAAAATTACAGCAGTGATGTTCTGGAAGAGTCTTCTGAATAATGACAGTTGCAGAAAGAAATATCCTCCTCAATTTAAAATGGACCTTGATATTTTTGAAAAGGATAGATTGCATATTTACCTGTGATGGCTGGAGGCTAGACTTGGAATGCGGGACCTCCTATTCCATCTAAACTGCTACCTAATCAGAATATTTTAGAAGATGCTCTTTCTCAACACTGCATTTTAATTTGTCTTGACTTTCACTGCACAAAGGTACAGAAAGCATGGGCAACATGACAAAAGTTTAATAATATTGTGTTCAAGGACTCTGTAATGATGATTTTGAAAAAGCATAAAAATTGTGCTTACTTCGAACAATCTTCCAGTCTATTCCTGGATCATAACATTTACATACCCTTGATTTGGAATCCTGTCTTGCTTGTTCACCCACTGGCCTTTATCTTGATATTAAAAGGCATCCTCCTGCCTCTCACCCTCATTCCCAGTGCTTAGCCCTGCTGCTTCCCTTCTATACAAAAGGAAATTATTCCTGAGATGGTTTACTAAGAGTCACAGAAGAGAGTGGGAATGCATGGCCAAAGACAATGACAGGGTAGGATCACCTCTTTCAGTTTCACTGTGAAGTTTAGATCAGCCAGCGGCTACTATGAAGGTGCACCCAGACTTAAGAATAATCCTTCAGCACTTGAGAGATCCATCTACTAAAGTCTTCAAAAGTTGAGCTTTAGGATTCAGTGCTCTATTAATAAAATACACTGCTCACAATGGCACAGCAATCAGGCACACTACAGCACACTATGTTTGCCTCTGTATCTTAAAAGCCATCCCTCTCTCTTGTCTGGCTGAGAAACATATGTTGATGATTCAGTTAATGAGAGAATTAAACTGTTTCAAATGAACACAGGCTAGTCTTGTTGATTAGCAAGCCTGCAATTTTACCTGTAATATACCCTAAAAATCAAAGACCGGAGCAGTTAAATAATTCAGGAATCATAATATATAGTATTCTTGGTGACATGTGCAAACATTTGTAAAAACTATGTTTATATGTCACATTCAGCAATTAAAAGAAAAAGAAAACCCAACCTTTGATTGCAGACTAGCTTCTAAAGTATCCAGTTGGGATAAATCTGCTAACTGCTTTACTAAGCCCCAATCTATTGTTATTTAGCCACGTGTTTATAGCACAAATGGTATGCAAAATACCACAATGTATTATTACACTAGGAAGCGACTATTAAAAAAGTCATGTTTTAACGCCCTTCCTCTTCCATAATTTATTTGTTGTATTTGAATAGGCTTATGAGTTTGCCAGTACTTTGACACAACCTAAGTTTGTCTTCCAGATATTTGACATTTATAATAATGAATAAGAAAGACACAAGCAAACCTACTACGGAGTTCACTTTTCATGCTAAAAGCTAGACTTCTTCAACCAATAAAATGATAAAAGCCTGATAGTGGCCTAAAATATGGAGCCCATAGTAATTTAGAATAACTTTTCTGTGTAGCATTTTGCATTAATACTATGTTGAATGGTAGAGTGATATGATTTTCCTCTTATTCTGTATCCATTTGAATTCCAAATCTATCTTAAACATCACCTCAGGGAACAGCTACGGTTAAAATCAAATTATGTATGCATATAAAAGCTGGAGATGATCAGTTTTAAATTACATGATACATCAACTTCTAACCCTATTATATCTTCAAATCCAGCTATTGCTCTCCTGTGAGCAATAAAGTAGAAGAAAAGCTATTCTCGATTTTCAAATCTTGCAGTAGCAGCTTAAGACTGATAAAAAGAAGTACCCTGTTCTTGCCCAGTATCCTTTGGGTATTCCTGGCACAGGTAAAGTAACTGGTAACATCTAATTTTTTTTTTATTTTTTTTTTACTGGCACTATACATTGGTATTGACATTTTCAGGAATTCCCAGGAATCCTAGTTATAGAAATCACATCCCAGCACTCCATTAATACTAGCCCTCACAAGCATAAGCAGACTCTTTTCTCTGGTGCAGTCTAAATTTAAGAAGAACATATGAAGACAGACACAGCAGCACAAAAAAAGAGAGATGTTGGTCAATATGATAAACATAGGAATTTGTGTTAGTTTACCAGATGTCTAACTGTTCTGAAGAGGGTTTGCAGACTTTATAACCCAAGATTATTTAAAAGGCAGGCTTGAAGGAATGATGAGTTGTTTTAAAGAATAAGGGGTCCTTCTGTGTGCAAGGAGCAGCATAGACAGAAACCAGGAGTTATATTTTTCTTTTCTAGTTTATCAGAGGATGTCAAGCTAAGCCTAGCATTTTTTCCATTCAAAAATGCTATTGTTCTCAAGGGGGTTTCAACACCACTGAAATGCAGGCATCTCAGAAGACTTGTAATACCACACAAATTGCAAAACCGCATGAGCAAGGGAGACAATTTGACAAAGGATCACATGTTCAAAGAATGCATTGGAATCTATAACATCTAGCTAGAATAGAGCTGTGGTCATAGAATCTGACTTTTTAAAAAACCCTAAACACATGCTTTCATAATTATTTATCTTGGAATGGAGAACACCAAACTGAGCCCATTATGATTCAAATCATTGATTTCACAGAATCTTAAAAAATCTGTGTCTGATATGTAGACAGATAATTCATCTTCTTCAAGCTTTTCTTGTATATGCTTAGTACCCACGCCTACTGTGTCAGGATTCTGAATCCTGGAGGCATATTTGGAGCACAGAGAGAATAAATGCTCCAGCAAATGTTCCAGTGAAGCAGAGAATGTTAGGGCCAGTCTGGCATCAGTCCAGAAGGAGGGGAGAGAGCATGTCTACTATAACCAAATCCACCATTATCTCAACATCAGTAAAAGGAACAAAAACGAATCCACTATTTCACATAAGAAGCAAATAGCATTTTTAATGTAGG